ATTTCACACTCAGGTAGGCGCTCAGGGGTCAGGGTCTGGCGGTCCCTCTGTAGGGCCTCACCCAGCCTGCCTGTCCAGCCTTCTAATCCCAGCTCTTCCACTATCACTCGATCGACCTCAGGAAGACATGTCACTTATTTGAGCCTCAGTGGTCTCATCTGTCTAATGGTGACAGAAATCCCCGCCCTGTCTCCGTATCTCACAGAATCACGTTGGGCCCCAGGCTGACTCTCTCCTCCTCCTTCCTCCCTCTTTGTCCCAGGGTGAAGGCCAAGAAGGGAGTGACCCTTTTAGGCACCAAGTCACGGAGTGGCCAGTGGCACGTGACCTCGGAGCTGCTGACTGGGGCAAAGCACTCAACGGCCACCGTGGATGTGGCCTGGGCCCAGGGCTCACCCCTGCCCCCGTGGTGAGCCGAGGTGGCGCCTCTGCCCACCTTTCTGCAGGACAGGCTCCTGGGGGGTGGGGGAGTTCTTGGTGGAGGAGGCCAGGCTTGTGGGAGGGCTGGGCTTAGTCTGTGGGGGCTCTGAGTCCAGGCGGGGCACCTCGGTGGCTGGAGGAGGCTCGGAGGGCCCCAGAGGGCAGGCTGCTGAGAGGGGCTGGGGTTCCAGAGCTCCGGAGTCGCCCCCAGCCCTTCCTCTCTGGCTCTCCTTCCTTCCTGCCCGGGCAGGGAGGGCCAGGGGCCCCTGGAGATCCTGCAGCTGGACTTTGAGATGGAGAACTTCACCAGCCAGTCGGTCAAGCGGAGGATCATGTGGCACATCGACTACCGCGGCCATGGCGCTCTGGCCGACCTGGAACGGGCAGTCACCGAGCTGACGGTCATCCAGCGCGATGTGCAAGCCATCCTGCCCCTGGCCATGGTGAGCAGGGCCGGGGACCGGCCGGTGGATGCGTGTGTGATGGGAATGCGCACGGCTCAGTGTGCGTATAGGTCAGTGCACATGTGCCTGTGATCCAGTGTCTGCGTGTATGATTGTCTCCTGAACCATGTAAACGTGTGTGTGTGTGTGTGTGTGTGTGTGTGTGTGTGTACGCACGCACTCACAGGAGGCAGGCAGCACTCCGCCTGGTGCTGGAGTAGGACAGCAGATGCTGAGGGGGACTGAGGGGGGAGAAGTCACCCATGGAGGGACCACTCGGGGGATGTTTCCTGGAGGAGGTGGCCATGCAGTTGAACCTTGAAGGCCGTGTGGGGGAAGGGCTCACACAATCAGAGAAGACGAGGAGAGTGCTTTAGTCAGGGGACCATGCAGACTGAAGGTGCAGTGATGGGAATGTGAGTGGTTGGTCCAAGGGAGCAATGGGCTTAGGAAGAGGGCATTGGGGTGATAAGGCTGGGATGATGGGCCGGGGCCAGCCCAGGAGCACCTTGAATGGCCAGGCAAATGAGCTGGACTTTCCTCAGCGCGTCCTGGGGAGCATGGAAGGCGTGGAGAGAAGATGGGAGGCACTGGGAATGGTTGTTTTTCGGCAGCAGAGGGAGGTAGACCATGGGAGCTACTGCAGAAGACCAAGCGAGCTGAGCATCTGAGAAGGTGCGAGGCTGGGTGGACGCACCTCCCTGCACATGTGCGCAGGTGTCCCCATGGAAGGGTGCACACCTGACAAGTAGGGGCAGTCAGGAGCCGGGGCCTTGGCTGGTGTGTCCTGGTAGAGGAGGGATCTGCAAGCACCTGGCTCAGCAGAGCCCCACCCTCCTCTCCTCCCCACAGGACACAGAGATCATCAACACGGCCATCCTGACTGGCCGGACGGTGGCCATCCCTGTCAAGGTCATTGCCATCGAAGTGACCGGCCTCGTCCTAGATGTCTCTGCCTTGGTGGAATGTGAGTCTGACAATGAGGACATCATCAAGGTGAGCTTCCTGGAGGTGGGGCCCCTGGGAAGAAGGCCTTAGACCTTCGAGGGGAGGGGAGCCCCAAGCCAGAGGGGCGTTCACGTCCCGTGTAGGTTCCCTCGGCAGGCAAGAAGACTTGGAATTGGGAGGAGTGGGAAAGAGCTGTGGGCATCCCTCATTCGGCCTGAGTGAGGTGAGGGAAAGCCCTGGGCACTGCCCTGCCAGCCCTGGAGGGCTGCCTGTAGGAATGGGGAAGAGACTGTCTGCAGACCATGGGGAGAAGGCAGAAGTCAATCTAATCTGGCAAGTGGTTCTGGAGCCCCTGGTGTGTGGCAGACACTGGGCAAGGCAACGAGGGGGCAGAGGGTGAACCCCTCAGAGACATGCTCTGGACCTGGATGCTGGCTCCAAGTGGAGGAGACCCAGCACAGGGAGGAAGCTTCCAGAAGCATGTGAGTTAGGCCAGGAGTGAGGGTTGTACAAGGAAGGACCCAACCCCTCTGGGCACACACCCCAACCTCCTCCAACTCCCAAAGGCCCCTCCCTGAGCTCCTCCCCAGAGACGCCCCCCTCTCCCCCGCCCTGGGTCCTCCATGGCCTAGCAAAAAGGGTATTGATCTGATTCAAATGGCCCAGTTGCCACCTCCCCAGGAGGGCCTCCAGATTTGCCCCTTCCCCTGGCCTTGGATAGTGGTCAGAGGCAGTAGAGCGGGCAGTAATGCAGGAGGGTGTCCAGCCAGCAGTTCGATACCGGAATCTGTTCCCTGTTCTTGTCAATCTTCCAGCTTGAAGGAGAGCAGGGGGGCGGGGGGGGGGGGATGTGGGTGGGCTCCCTCTGGCTCCCTGGGGCTAACCCTAGAGTGCACACTCTCTCTCCAAACTCTGCCCTGGGTCCCTCCAGGTCTGGGAGTCTGGAGCTCACCTTGGCTATCCCCCATCCAAGAAGAAGTCCTTCCAAGTGAGCTAGAGCAGATGGCGTGGTCCCCCACCCCCATCACCTCCTGGGAGTAGAAGCCTTGGCCAGGCCCACGGGGCCCTCCACTGCTGGCAGCTGGCGCAGGAAGAATGGGCCTGCTCCCAAGAGCCCCGCACCTTTCTCTGCTGCCCAGGCACCCCCACCCCGGCCCCAGAGGGACCAGAACAAAGTCGTGATGGCTGAGATACCAAAGGGAATTAGCGAAGATTCTAAATGGAACTTGTGTCCGTTCTCAATGAAATACACTCGGGTTGGAGTTTGCCAATATTCTAAGTGGAATTTGCCAGCCTTCAGATGGGATGCTCTGCCTCCCGAAGTGGGAAATGAGCATCGCTGGCAGGGCTGCGGTCCCACTCCCCCCTCCCGCCCCTCTGAGACGGTTAAGAGAGCGAGCAGGAGTTTGGGACGCCCCGGGCTCATCTCCACAAATGAGCCCCAGCCCAGCACCTCCCGGCTCCCCGCCTCACCCACCCGCCACACACACACCAGAGCCTTCAGGGTGTGATCAGCCCACAGGCTGCTTCCAAACGTGAGGACGTGCACCCACGGGCACGCACCAGCTGGAGCACCTAAATACACTGCACACCGTGTTCAGTCCAGGTGTGTGTGTGGGCACATGTAACACGCACACCCATCCGCATCTGTCCGGAAGGGCTGGCGGCGACACCTTTGTGAGTGGGCACAGGTCTCCGCCCCCCAGAGGTGTTCAGCAGGCCTGTGCCTATCCGGGGAAGCTCTAAGATGCAAGTTGGTATCCAGATGGGCAATGCACTTGCAAAAGCTGCAGCCCGTGGTGGCAGTCATGGCCGGTCTGGGCTTGAGGTCCTCTGGTCCTGATTTGTCCTCTCTCCTTCCCTCACTCCCTCCCCAGGCTGGAGCAGCCCCCTCGCCTGACATTAACCAGAGCCCGTTTTCCTGGGACTGCTGCTCCAGGGGGGCCCCGGAGGAGCCAAGTCCTGCCCTTCACCCCCCACCCCCCACTTGACCTCCTCCTGGCTCAGTGCAGCACCTGTGTCCTGCTCAGGACAGGCTGCGCTTTGGTGCAGTGAAGGGCTCTACCTGCCAGCACCGCCCAGGTGGTCACGCAGGGAGGAGAGCCAGGCCTGAGGACACTCAGCCTGAAGCCTCCTCCGAGGTGTGATCTGGTGCCCAGAAGCTCCCCTTGTGAAGGCATTTGCATCCACCTCCCACCGTAGCCCCTGAGAGATGGTCTCTGGGAACACAGGACGGAGGCGGGGACACAGAAGCTGACACCTCCCCGAGGAATTAAATGAGGAGGTGCCTTCTCCCCCCGGCACCCTCCCCTTCAGCCTCACGTGACGGGTACTTTCTCTCTCCAACAGCCTCTGGCCCTGCTTGTCAGACTGCAGTTCCTTGCACTGTCCCGCAGGATGACCTGTAGGGCAAGACATGCCAACCAACCTCCCTCCCCTCCCCAGGTATCCAGCAGCTGTGACTACGTGTTTGTTAGCGGAAAGGAGTCTCGCGGGTCCATGAATGCCAGGGTCACCTTCCGCTACGACGTCCTCAGTGCCCCCCTGGAAATGACAGTCTGGGTCCCCAAGCTGCCCCTGCACATCGAGCTCTCGGACGCCCGCCTCAGCCAAGTGAAGGGCTGGAGGGTACCCATCCTCCCCGACCGGAGGTACAGCCCCTCCACACACGGCAGATACTCGGGACACTCGCGGGTGACACAGCCCTGGCACACGGTCTGATCTGCATGTGTGCCTAAGGGCCTCGATGTACACAGTCTGGGGCTGGTTATGCACTCAACAAACTTTTACTGAGCAGCTACTGCGTGCCAGGCCCTGGCGGGTGCTTGAGATGCGAGATGAATGTGGCCAGTGCCTTACTCAGCCAAGTTCTGGGTCCAGCAGGGAAGCCATCATGTATATGCCACAGAGCACGGTGGATGCAGGAAGCAGGGAATTGAGTGGCACAAAGGAGAGAACCACCTCTCCCTCTGGGAAAAGTCAAGGCAGGCTTCCTGGAAGAGGTGACTCTTGAGCTAAGTCTAAAAGGATGAGTGGAAAGGAGTTGTCTGGGGAACAGGGTGAGAGACCAGTCCAACAGCAGACAAAATGGAGCAGACACAGTAACACAGGAGCACACACGGCTATACACACGTGCCCCAGCCTGGGCACGCCGAGGCACACTTGTAGGCACATCAGCTGGGCACACACTAACTCACACTGGGTCCGCTCTCTGGGGGGCAGGCTCACACACCTGAGTACCCAACTGCGGGGCATGGACGTCTGCACTCAGCGCACCCCGCTCACCCACCATGGCTGCGAGAGAGAAAAGCCAGCAGGAAAGAGGAGGAAGGGCAGGGCTAGGGAGAGGAGCAGGCGAACTGAGACTTGGGCTCAGTTCAATTCTGCAGGATTTGGGAAAGCAAGGCCGGGTGGACCAGAGCCTCTCGAACTTGAACGAGCACAGGGCTCACCTGAGGATCCTGTCCGTTGCACATGTATTTGGACCAGCTCCTGGGTGATGCTGATGCTGCTTTGAGTAGTGAGGACGCAGTAAACTCTGAAGCCAGACAACCAGTTTGAGAACTGACCTCTGCTCTTTGGCTGGCCAACCGCGGGCTATGCACATAACCTCTCCATGCCTCGGTTTCCTCATCTGTAAAATGGGCACATTAACACTTACCTCACAGGACTGTGGTGAGGATTGGATTTGTTAACAGGTAAAAGCACCCTCTGTGTGGATGAATATTCTAGTGCTTGATTCTTCTAAGCACTAGCAAAGCAGTAGCCACAGGGTGACTCTCTTGCTTTTTGCCTTGTGGGTAATTCTGAGTAGGCGGAGCATTCCCCAGACCATCACGTCCTGGGTCCCTTTTGCTCACCAGTTCTTCCCTCAGTTTTTCTCTCTCCTGTTTGCATTTCACTATGAGCAGCAAGAGAAACCCAAGCCGCCCCTTCAACACTTGGCTTGTGAATCTCAGCTAAACATCCAGGTTGAGCACTTACAAGTTCTGTTTGCCACACAGCGTAGGACGAGCCAGCCCGGCTCCTGGCACTCCGTAAAGGGATCGCCTTTGCTCCAGCTCAGAGCTGAGAGCAGGGCCAGGCTCACGCTCAGCGCTGAAAAGAGGTCGCACTCGTTAGGGTTTGATGCCAGCTTTTCGCAGGCGTGGGGGAAGCCAAGTGGAGGCAGAGAGACCAGGGAGGGCCAAGAAGGTGCCTTTTTAGGAGGGAAGAGCCTGGGCCTCCCAGCTCCTCACTTGTCAGGAACAGGAGTGAGCCAGGGACAGGCTCGCGATTTGCACACTGCCATCCGCGGGAGCCCGGGGAACGGCTAGCAGGGCCAGGGGAGGGAGGGGCTTGTGCAGGTCACTGATCCTGTGCCCCCACCCAGGTCAGCCCGGGAGAGCGAGGACGAGGACGAGGAGGAGGAGGAGCGGCGGCAGAGCAGCAGCCGCGGCTGCACCCTGCAGTACCAGCACGCCACTCTGCAGGTCTTCACCCAGTTCCACACGACCTCGTCCGAGGGCACCGACCAGGTGGTCACCATGCTGGGCCCGGACTGGCTGGTGGAGGTCACCGACCTGGTCAGCGACTTCATGCGGGTGGGTGACCCCCGAGTGGCACGCCTGGTAGACAGCAGCACGCTGGCAGGCCTGGAGCCGGGCACCACCCCCTTCAAGGTAGGCACAAGGGCAGTGCCAGGAGTCCTGTTTGCCTGTGGGCAGAGGATGCAGACGTTCTTAGGAAAGGAATTCCAGGGCCTCGGCCCCCAAAACACACTTTCTTCCCTGCTTGCGCCTCTGCCTGATGTTCCACCATCAGAGGCCAAGGTCCTTTAGCTCCACCGTGGTGAAGCGTCTCCCTCCACGCCTGACCAGGACTATCAACCTCGCATCCCCGCGTGGTCCCTGAGAGCAGGTGCGGGCTCAGGCAGCTAGAGGCCCGGAGAGGGAGTTCAGGAGCTAGGAACTCAACTCTGGCCTCCTTGACATTTGCCCGAGTAGAAATCCTCCACCTGGGAGATGGTGAGCAGTGACCCGTGTGCTGGAATCTGCTCGTACAAACAATTGATCCTACATTTGAAAATTAGAAAGCTTCTCATTGTTTAGAAAACCAGATTTCTGGTTTTACAAAATATAAATCTGGCAACACGGGGCCTGCCTTCCCACCTGGGAATATGCTGCTAGAGTCAGTACTGGTGCTCCCTTCCCATGAGCATGAGTTCTCCCGTTGGCCACAGTCCCCACCACTCCCTTTCGTCTCCCTCACATTGAGGTTGGAATATCAGTTGCTATTTCTCACTGTGCGGGCCTATTGTTTCCTTTACATCTGCCCATCTCTCTCTCTCTGTGCTCCTGCAAGCTCCACACGCACTGCCCCCCCAAGAGACCCCTGGACCCTGGTTCCCAGGTGCAAACCTAAGGCAGAGCCTCCCAGCCTGCCCCACCTCCTGGACCTCTCTTCCGGTGGCACCAGGACTCCCCCTGATGGGTGATCCTGGGGTCCCGCTTTCCTGGCCTTCGCCCACGCCTGCCCCTCTCTGCCTCAGGTGGTGTCCCCACTGACGGAGTCTGTGCTCGGGGAGACGCTGCTGACCGTGACAGAGGAGAAGGTCAGCATCACACAGCTGCAGGCCCAGGTGGTGGCCAGCCTCGCCCTCTCCCTACGGCCAAGCCCCGGGAGCAGCCACACCATCCTGGCCACTGCCGCCGCCCAGCAAACCCTCAGCTTCCTCAAGCAGGTAACTGGGTGCCCCGCCTACCAGCCTGGGGCTTGGAGTGTAGAAGGAGGGCTTGCGGGCTCTGGCTTGCCCTTTGCCACAAGTGCCCCAAAATTAGGGCGTTAGGCAATGGAAGATCTCTCTACCCTCCATGCCCTGTGTGCCTGCTCCACCTCACCCCACTGCCGTCTGCACGGGGAGTCTGGCCAAGGTCTCACTTTCTGCACCTGCCACCTGAGGTCTTCCTGCTAAGGATTACCCCTCTCAGATTCTCAGAGGGCCCATCAGCTCTGCCTGTACCCCAGGAATTACACTTACCTATTTCTGGAGCCCCAGCTACAGCCCACCCCACCCCTAGAAATGCCAGGACACTGGCTGCAGGCAAAGGTGGAAAGGTGACAGGCAGAAGCCCAGGGAATGAGAAGGCGGGTGTTGAGCACCAAGCCAGGAGTCAGGAGCCAGAAGCCGTCTGCCTCCACTCGCTCCCTGACCCCAGGCCAATCCCTTCTCTCTGGGCCCTGCCTTCTCACCTGCAGGAAGACCAGAGTAACCAACAGGGGAGACTGGGGTTGGGCGTGTGTCCTCAACCTCCAAGTGTCGGATGGGGGTGATCCCAGGGGCAGGCATGGAGAAGTGGGCTAAGTGCTGCAGCAAAAGGGACTTGAGTGAGACCCAAGGCAGAACTTACCTTTAGCTCATCCAGAGGAGAACGGTGAGGTGGGCAGAGGAATTCTCAAGGCAGCGGGAGGCCACCATGTGCCCTGGACCCTCCTCACTACCTCCGTCAGTCATTCCTGAGCCCTGCCACCTGCCAGGCGCATCCAGCCCTGGGAGTCCAGCCGGGAGCCAGACACCCGGGTCCCTGCCCTCACAAAGCTCATCCAACAGGGAAGCCAGCCAGGACCAGCCTCTGACTCCTCTCCCCTTCTCCTCCTCCTCCAGGAAGCCCTCCTGAGCCTCTGGCTCTCCTACAGTGACGGCACCACAGCTCCGCTCTCCCTCTACAGCCCCCGGGACTATGGGCTGCTGGTGAGCAGCCTGGACGAGCGGGTGGCTACGGTGACCCAGGACCGGGCCTTCCCGCTGGTGGTGGCTGAGGCGGAGGGGGCAGGGCAGCTGCTCCGCGCGGAGCTCACCATCGCCGAGAGCTGCCAGAAGACCAAGCGCAAGAGCGTCCTGGCTACGACGCCCGTGGGCCTGCGGGTGCACTTTGGGCGGGAGGAGGAGGACCCCACCTACGACTACCCAGGCCCCAGCCAACCGGGGCCGGGTGGGGGCGAGGACGAAGCTCGGGGAGCCGGCCCCCCGGGCACGGGGATGTCCCCACCCGAGGCTCCGGGGCCGGTCACCACCAGCCCAGCGGTGCCACCCACAGAAGATCTGCTGCTGCTGCCCACGAGCCCCCAGCGGGGGCTGACGGACCTGGAGATCGGCATGTACGCGCTGCTGGGCGTCTTCTGCCTCGCCATCCTCGTCTTCCTCATTAACTGCGTGGTCTTCGTGCTGCGCTACCGGCACAAGCGCATCCCGCCCGAGGGCCAGACCAGCACGGACCACTCCCACCACTGGGTGTTCCTGGGCAACGGGCAGCCGCTGCGGGCGCAGGGGGAGCTGTCGCCACCGGCCGGCAACCCGCTGGAGACCGTGCCCGCCTGCTGCCACGGCGACCACCACAGCAGCGGCAGCTCGCAGACCAGTGTCCAGAGTCAGGTGCACGGGCGGGGCGACGGCTCCTCGGGCGGCTCGGCCCGGGACCAGGCCGAGGACCCCGCCAGCTCGCCCACGTCCAAGCGCAAGCGGGTCAAGTTCACCACCTTCACCACGCTGCCCACGGAGGAGCTGGCCTATGACTCGGTGCCCGCCGGCGAGGAGGAGGAGGACGACGATGAGGACCTGGGTTGGGGCTGCCCGGATGTGGCAAGCACCACGCGGCCTGCTGCACCCCCAAACTACATGCGCAGAAACAAAGAGATGGCGTAGAGGCGCCGTCCCCCGGGGGGTGGGCTCTGTGTGGGACACGGCCAGGACCCCTGCTCGCCCGGGCTGCCGGCGGCGGACGTGGATGTTAAAGGCCCGGCCCCTGCAGCTTTGCTCTCTGCAGGCGCCGCCTCCCTCACCGGCCCTCCAGCTGCCTCACACGGTTCCCTCTCTGCTGTAGCAGGTGGAGGGCCCCTTTGGGAGCGCGCTAGGAGGAGGCAAGCCCAGCCCTCCTGCCTTTCCCAAACCTCCTCCCATCCGAGACAGCCAGGCCCAGGAGCGAGGCCAGGTGGGCCCGCTCTGTGAGCCGCCCCTGCCTCCCACGTCCCCGGGGTCCCCCCTGTGCTGGGGGTTCTGTGGGGTCTTGTGTCACAAGCTGCACAAAGACTTTTCTCAAACCACTATTCAGGGATTTCTGTCCTGCAGGGCGGGAGGCAGCAGCTGCCTGCCCTGCCGAGGATCTTGCTGTGGACAAAACTTTGGGGAGGTTGGGGGACACGTGTAGCATCTTCTGGCTTTCTGGGACCTGCCAGTCCCTTCCTAGGACCTGGGAGCAGACCCCAGAGGGGTCTGTGGCCAAGCCAGGCACCTTCCTAGGAGCCCAGGACTCCCTCCTCTGCCCCCAAGGGCTATAGAAGTGGCCGAAAGGGGGAGGAGTCCTCAGCCCACCCCTGGCCAAGCCACAGCCCAGAGCACCATGGTCTGGGTGGGCCCAGGGAGGCCTGCCCCATAGCAAGGCCAGCACTCCGCCTTAGCCCCCCCAGCTCTGCTGGCCTCTCCTCCCTGCTCTGCAGGGGCGACCACCCATCCCCCCAGGAAATGGAATCCGGTGGGAATGGAGGGGGGCACCCACCGAGGAAGCTGTGAAGGAGCTGGGGATGGGCAAGGCCGAGGGAGCGGGCGTCTCCCTACCCCATCTCACAGCCACTTTTCTCTCGGGTTCTACCACCACTGTGTCCGGTTTTTTCTTAAATAAATGGAGGCGACCAGATTCTAGGTGGGGGCAGCAGCTCCCAGAGAACAGACAGTGCATGGTGGCTGGCTCCGTGTCTCTGCTTTATGTGCACGCACGCACACTCACCCCACACACACGTGTACACACATGCACACGTGGGCACAGTAAATGACCTGAGAGAGAAACACGGCTGAGCCCCGCGGCCGTCCCGTTCTTCCCCCTCCAGCATCCAGGGCTCATGGACCTCGGTGCTGGCCCGTTTCTTCCACAGCCTTCAGCCCTCCCCTCAGAGGAGGCTCCTCCCATCCCCATCCCCATCCCCATCCCCATCTCTATCCCCGCCTCTCAGGGAGGCCTCCCTTCTCCATGGGTTGATGGGGAAAACTTGGTGGTCTCCATGGCAGGAGCCAGGCCGGAGAGAGCCAAGGCTGTTGGGTAGGCCCTTCCCACAGGGCCCTTGGCTGGCCCTGGGAGACCGGGGCTGCTGCCTGTGGGGGAGCCTGGCCAGCCTCCAACAGCCTGGAGAGGTGGCTCAGCAACCACCTTGGAGAGGGGAGGAGGCATAGCAACCAGCATCTGGCAGAACGGACCAGGGGCAGGACAGGCTGCACTGGCACCTGGTCCAACCCCTGGGAAACACGCCTGCCTCCCACAGGCCTCTGCTCCTTGGCAGGGGCAGCCCTGGGGGCACCGTGAGGATTGGGTACCTAAGCTCCCCGCACGGCGCCCAGCGGCAGCAAAGCTCCTGACACAGACAAGACAAGGAGTTTGCCACCTTCAGGTTGACTTTTCAGGGAAGGTGCGGCCCTGAAGGAAGACTGGAGATGGGCCAGCTCTGCCCAAGATGGACTGGCAACAGGGAATGGGTATAGCTCAGTGGCACGAGGAAGCTACAGGGAAGCCATGGCCAGGGCAGAACCCGGGGCAGAAGTACTGTCCTCGAGTTCCCAGAGCACCAGACACCTGCTACTCAAATAACCCTGACGGTGACCTCCTAAAGGGGCCCCCTTAACCCTCGGTGCCTAGAATCGGCAAGTGTTCAACAAATGCTTGCCGACTAAAGACCACACAAAAACTATAGATGGCTTTCTCACTGTTCTGCATTTGGGGCTTTTCTATGCCCTGCCATCTTACCACGTGATCAGTGCGGAAAATCACAATTACAGAGAGAGATGGGGCATAGGTGCGAGTCAAGGAAGAGGGAATATTCTAGCCTGGGTGTGTGCGCATGGGAGGGGGTGCTGGTGCTAAAGTTGGAACACGGTTCCATTTGTTTATGCAACACAGAAAGCTCCTACTATGTGCTAGGCCCTGCCGGGGAGTATGGGAGGAGCCCCAGCTCTGCGGGGAAGATGGGCAAGTCAGCCGACCACGGCCAACTGGGACGATGAATGCTGTCCGTGGCGGCTTTGCCCTGGGTTGGTGGGGGACAGCGGAGAGAAGGAGACATTTTCAAACCGGATTTGCTGAGGACGGGGCCAAGGACATCCCAGGAAGGGAGGAGGGCGGGCGTGCAGGCCCAGAGGCTGCAGACCTCACACCCCGTGCTTTCTCTCGCTTCCCTGTCTCCGCACGTGCTTGCCCGCTGCCTGGAGCAGGAGACCCTGGGGATAGGGAAATACGAGCACATCCGTGCAAAGGCATGGAGGCCAGAGGGAGTGTATGTGTGTGTGGGCGGGGGGGTGGGGGGGTTAGCATAGATTTGGGAGTCAGGCTCAGACCCGAGGTTCAGATCATCTCCCTCTCCCTGGGGGAAGGAAGGAAGGATGGAAAGGGTGAGGGGCCCCGTTAGGAAGACGCTGCAGCAGGAAGGAGGAGGGCCAGCGTCGCGGGAATGGAGACCTGGTGCGTGGCTGGTTTTCAGCTGCAGACTTTGCCAACTGCTGATCCCCCAGGGGGACGACAGGGAGGAGACCTGAGCTGCTGCCTGGCAGAGACCTTCCCAATGAACCCGGGGGACCTGGCCCCTCCAGGGGAGACAGTGGACGCCGTCATGATGGTATCTGTCCGCATCCAGGCGTCACACACAGGGACGTGAGGACCCAGAGAGGGTACCACTGGCCGGAAGTTCCACAGCCAACCTAGCGACAGGGCCTGCTGCCCGGCCGTGATTTGTGTCCCCTTCTCGTCATGCCTCGCTCCCTGCCCAGATGCCAGGGCTCAGAGGCAATTGCTGGAAACGGCCAAGGCCTGACCCCCACGCAGTTCAGGAGGGAGCCGGTGTGGAGGCACGCGGCGGGACATTAAGTTAACAGCCCCTCTGGAATGGCCCTGGCCCTGAACTCCTCTTTAAAAATTTGTCTTCAACCCCGAAAACGAATCGAGGGACCTTATAAAGAATAGTTATTGACAGAGAGCTGCTCTGGGAGCACCGGGAACCAGGCCCATGAATCAGCTTGCTGGTAAAATGAGCCTCCTCAGACAGCCAGGGCCGGCGAAGGCAGAGCCGGAGATGCGGACAAGTGGCCGTGAGCCTGCACCAGCCCCACACGCCAGCCTCCCCACGCCAGCCCCGGACGCACCCCCATGCCCGTCTTCAACAGATAATGGACAAGCACCTCTGATCTGCCTCCTGGAGAGAAGGCTTCTGCTCAGGGAGCCAAGTGGAGAAAATACACTGAATGGGCCAGAGAAGGAAACCCACTGGCAGTGATGACAGTTCCTAAGCTGGGGGCAGGGGCTCCCGGGATCTGACTGTGCCTTTGCTGTGGGGCCTTCCACCAGTGCATCCCCAGCTCTGGACGCTCGTTGCCGCTTCTTACAAACATGTAAGTCACCGAGACAAGGCGTGTCCACTGACTGCCCCGGAGAGGCCCCGCTGTTTCAGCACCTGTATCGCTAACGAGCGCCTAGAGAGAGAAGCATCACTACTCCCGTCTTACAGATGAGAAGTCTGGAGCACAGAAAGGGCAAGGAGCGGGCCCGTGGTCTCCAGCTTAGCCATGACCCGGCAGGCAGCCACCAGCCTACCCTCTCTCTGCTGCATCCTGAAGCCCCATTGACAATTGAAAGGTGATGAGGTTGGAGAGATTCAGAGATGGGAGGGGCAGGGAGGGGGTCTCTAAAGACTTGGTGCCCTCAGTGATGGGGACCCCCACTTAAGATTTAATTCGTGGTCAGTGTTTGGGGGCAGGTGGAATACCACAAGCCCTAAGGCCTCTCTGCCAGTGTTGGATGGACTGTGCTCCCTCCCCTCCTGGGAGCTCCATCCCCAGCTAAGTGTCTCCAAAGCCAGTCACCCAACCCTCTCTCAGTCACGCCTTCAAGCAGAGGACCGCAGGGCTTTCCTGAACAAGGTGCTGAGCTGGGCTTGTATGGAGAGCTGAGAGCACACGCAGAGATGCCCACTGAAGGGGGGTGGGTATGAACCAGCACCTGTGCTCTCCCTTGGGACACTGGTTGCCCCTTCAGTCGCAATAGATACTGGGAAGCTGAGGCCATCCCTATGCCCACACTCCTGCCACAGTAGCCTGCCCAGTATTGATCGGATCCTTACCATTAATCTGACCAAGGAAGTAGGGGTATGAAATAACAATCACTAACCTTTTCTGAGAGCCCATGACACTCTAATAATCACTTTAGATCCATCACGTCATCGGTTCTTCAGGTTAACCAAGTAAGGTAGGTGCTATTATTATACCCATTTCACAGATGACAAAACTGGGGCTCAGAGCAGTTACATGACTTATCTCATGCCACACAGCACATTTAAATAGCAGAGCCAGGGTTCAAACCCAGGTTACCTTGGCTCCAATTTCCTCATCTTCACACTGCCTTCCCTGGTGGGGATCTGGAGTTCAGAGAATTATTCTGACGCAATGGCAAGAGTACCAAGTGGGAGTCCAGGGGCTTGGTGGGAGGTCTCACTCTGTCCTTGCCTGGTCACCTGGCCATGAGGCCGGCCCTGCCTATGTCTGGAACAAGTCAAGACCCTCCACCGGATTCCAGGGGCCAGATGGTCCCTTTAGTGCCTTCAGACGTGATGGTTCTCAGGTCTCAAGGTGTGAAGCCTGGGCACCACCCAGCCCTGCCAGTCCACACCTCCCGCCCTCCACCCTCCACCCTCCACCTCCTAGAGAGATGGGCACTGTGGGGTGAGAGGCGAGGGTCAGAGTCCTCCAAGCTCTGCCAGCTCTGACATCCTCTCCTTCATGCCACCCTGGGCAGCCGTTCCCAGGAGTTGGGGATTCTCCATGTTGGGGGGTGGGGGGAGCACAGTGAAGGCGCGAAGGGGGGATGGGAATGATAACTCCCCATCACTCAGTGTCAGAGCGGCAGCGAGTCTCAGGGCTAAGAGGGAGCTTAAGGTTCAAGTTGCCAGCGCCTGCCCATGGGGAGGTCCCCGTCTGATGGAAGAGGAACCGGCCCTGCCCTACAGCAGCTCCCAGTCTGAGGGGGAAACCACCCACTCAGTTTGAGGAGGGAGCTGATCACACCCTGAAGGAACGAATCATCCGTCAGAGACACATGCAAACAGGTGCCCAGGAGGGCACAGTGACCTACGCACGCACTTAGGCCACAGAGCAGCGGAAATAAAGGAAACGTGGAAGCCGGGCAGTTAATCCAGAAAGGCAGCCTGGAGGAAGGTTGTGGGAGGAGCGAGGGGTCTGCAGACAGCCGGGAAGTCAGAAATAACTACTTGAGGATTAGGAGGTGGGTTGGACCGATTCTGGCTGAGGGGAGGGAGCCCTGCGGGGGCTTGGCTGAGAGGAGGGGTGTGGGGGGAGGGGAGGAGGCGGCCCTCCCTCAGGTGACCCCGGAGAAGCCCTGGGCTGCCGGGGAGACCGCTGCTGTTGTCCAGGTTTGGGAGAGGCCCGAGAGGGGTCCCAACCCTTTTCACTTCTCAGGAATATAGAGGAGCCTGTCGCACAGCCGGGCAGCCTGGACTGGGCACAGGGGCTTGGCTTCCAGTCCCCTGGGCCCTGCCACTCACATTGTGGCCCGGCATGAGTCTCTAGCCCTCCTCTGCAAGACCAGGGGTCTGGAGGATTGTGGCCTTAGTGCACACCCCAGACTGACCTGTGTC